GGGGAGTTCCTGAATCACATGGTGCTTTTTCACTGAAACTGGAGTGTCAGGTTTGAGATGAAAAGCAGACTGTGGAGAGGCAGATTTGTAATGCTTAGCAAGATCAGGACTGTTAGGCTTAAATGTTGTTGGTGGTGCTGTGCCCCAGTCAAATCTTCCTATACTTTGCTCCTCCAGCTCTGCTGGAAGGCTTATTGTCCCATTGATAGGTTCATGAACTGCATCGTCAGGTTTGGACTCCTCAATGGTCACAAAGTTCAAAAGAGAGCTCTTCGGAGATTTCCTTTTCTTCCTTTTCTTTTTCTTGTTTTGCTTGTTCTCCTGATTGGGAGACATCCACTCAGCACCTTGCTTGCTCCTCTGGGCAGCTTTGAATCTGGATGCATGTCGACAGCGAACGAGAACTGTGACAAATATCACCACTATGACAACCATGGCACCTGCTACAATGGCGATCATAATTGTGAGATAGTCTTCATTTTGGTAGGGTTGGCTACTGTCCCCTATGTTCCGATCCAAAGGTGTTTCCATAGTCCTGCGTATCAAGTCATAAATATAAGAGGCATTTCCAGCAGTATCATTTACATATAGAAAGACAAGCACAAGAGTATGCAGGGATTTGGGATAACCCAAATCACTTATGTTGACAACTAAGCGATGCAGCCCCACGTCATTAGGAGTTGGTTTTTCTTCCAGAGTGATATTACCCGTCACTGGATCAATCCGAAACAAACCCTTGTTGTTTCCACTTACAATTGGGTACTTAACTTCGGCATTCATTCCCGTGTCTATATCCACAGCAAAGACTTCAGCTACTACCGATCCTGGAATTGCTGAGAGTGGCACTAACTTAAAAGAAGTATTAGAAGGTGGGTAGATGACAACAGGGCTGTTATCGTTAACATCCATGACATTTATGGTTACTTTCGCTGTGGAAGAGCGAGGAGGTTGCCCTCCATCCACTGCCTTAACATCAAAGGTGTAGGAGCTCTGCTGTTCTCTATCAAAAGAAACATTGGACTTTATAACTCCAGAGTACGGATCCAGCACAAAGTTTTCATTGTCATTCAGGATGGAAAGGGTCACCGCTTTGTTTTCCCCAGCATCTGCATCGGTCACCGTGATCACACCCACCGTGCTATACTTTGGTAAGTTCTCTGATACGAAAAACTGGAAGTGATTGTGAGTAAATTTGGGACTGTTGTCATTTTCGTCCAACACAGTAACAATTACAGCTGCTTGACTCTGCAAAGGAGGGGTGCCATTGTCTCGGGCTGTAACAGTGAAAATGAAACGTTCCTGCTCTTCTCTGTCAAAAACTCTGGAGGCTGTCAAAACTCCCGTCTTTCGATCCAGATCAAAAAAGGAAGCATTAGGGCCAAGCTGATAAACAATGTCTGCATTTTTCCCACTGTCTTCATCTGTGGCACTAATAGTTGTTAAGTATAGACCACGACGGTTGTTTTCAGAAACTGACAGCTCAATTACAGGCTGGCTAAAAATCGGAGGGTTGTCATTTTCATCCTCCAGTTTAACTCTTACCAGGGCAGTCTGGTTCAAACTGGGCTTGCCAGAATCAGAAGCAACAATTTTAAAGCTGAATTCTTTGGTGCCCTCATAGTCCAACAAGGAAGAGGTCTCTAACAAATACTGGTTGTCATAAACCGCCTTCAAGTGGAAGGGGACCTCTCTCTCAATGAAACAGATCACTTTGCCATTCACATCAGTGTCCTTATCTGAAACCGTAATTAGGGCAATCTTTGTATTGATGGGATCTTTCTCAGATAAGTACACTGTGCCATTGATGGGACTTATTATGTACCTGAGGTCTATGTTAGGAGGATTATCATTTACATCAGTGACGTTGATGGTAACGGTTGCCCGGGCCGGTGTAGAGCTACCATCACTAGCCAGCACTGTTACTTTGTGAATAGCAGTCTCTTCTCGATCTAAGGACCTCTGAACTGTAATCAGCCCTGTGGTGTTGTTTAAAGCAAAAAATCTTTTGGTTGCAGGGGCGACTTGGGCACCAAAAATATATCTGATTTCTGCATTGCTTCCTATATCTGCATCTGTAGCATGAAGCTGAATTACAGAAGTGCCTACAGGGGCATTCTCTGGTATATGAACCTCTACTTGACTCTCTTTAAACACTGGCCTGTTATCATTGACATCACTTACTGTGACTTGCAGGATGGCTGTGCTGGATTTCTGGGGAGTACCTCCATCCTCCACTTTGATTTTCATCACGTAGGTGTCCTTTTGCTCTCTGTCCAAGTTCTGCTGCACAATCAGCTGAGGCCATTTCTCTCCTTCTGGAGTTTCTACAATATCCAGTCCAAAGACACTCTGCCCGTTTAACAACTCGTAGTGCTGCACACCGTTGAAACCTGTGTCAGGATCTGTGGCTGATGGGATTGGAAAGCGACTGTTGATCAGAGTGTTTTCTGGGATGGAGATATTGATGACAGGGGATGGAAACATAGGTGCATTGTCATTAGTATCCTTTACAATTATTTTTATTTTGATCAGCCTAAAAAAGTCATTGGGGAGAATCACCACTTCAAGCTCAAAGAAACACTCATTTTCTTCTGCATAGGAAGCTCCAGCACAGAGTTTTTCTCTGTCTATTCTGTTAGATGTCGTAAAGATTTCACCAGTGTTACTGGACACTTTGACCAGAGGGGCATCCCCTGCTTTAGACACCAGTCTGTAGACAAGGCTGGCACTGGTCCCTGTGGCAGCATTGATGTGAGAAATGTTCAGGTCCTTTGGTATGTTCCCTATGGGTACGTTTTCAGGCAGCTCCTCTCTAATAGTGTAAATAAGTTCTTGAGCTATAGCAGAATCCAACCTTAAACAGGCAATCAAAGCGGCCAGCAGGTAAAAATCCCTCAGGTCCATGATAATGTTTTTATTCTCTTTTCCCAGATTTTAGGACTTAAAGGTTTCCAGAGAGGAACGATGCGCGATTTGCAAGAGGAGGCATGCATGGACTGCAGGATGCATTACATCTCATTTCTTATTTGGAGACAACACTGTCAACACAACCACACAGAACAGCATTATTGTTTTTTTAGGCATGACAAATCCACAATCTCCAACTACTACTTGTTTTTGAAATGCACACTTGCAGCAGTACATTTTCCTACTGCTCCCTTTTACAAGCGGTCCCTTCAGACAAATGCACCAATATCCCATTGGCTGCATTTGCATAGAGTGAGAATGAAAATAACTACTTGAAGGATTAAGAGTAGCTACTGTTCCAACACGTACTTTCTGAATAATTCTTTCGTACACCGTGTAATCCTTAACATGCATTCCCCCTCTACCCTCCTCCACCCAGTCATTTGGTGCAAGTAAAAAAATCTTCCCACACTACTTCTGGATTCTAATTGTTGTGTCAGCTGCCAAATGTAATTTGTTGTTTGCTCCCATACATATTTTTTAGCTCTTGCTAACCAGATTTTTCTCTGCTCCTTGTGCCTTGCATCCCCCTCTATACATATTGTACTGGGAAATAACCACCCGGACATGCTGCTGCTGCAGCAGTCGTCACTGGCTACTTCACATCCCTGATAACTGATGAGACAATAACAGGACTTACAGTTTCTTACACTCTCAGCTCAGTGTTTCCTCTCCAGATGTTTGATACTTCTCCTTCTGTTTAATAACCTTAAACTTTGTCTGTTTTTAAACACGGTCTAAATCAGGAGGCTGGAAATTCCAAATGCAACTTAGGAGCAGCCAACATGTTTACAGATGGGAGGTTGGGGGGGGGGGAATATGTATTTTCTAACGTCTACAGGAGGAAAAAAAGCTTCAGCCTTTCCCTATTGACACTGATCTCCCTTCAGGATGTTATTAGCAGCTGCCACACATAAATACTGCAGACTAATAATGCAGGTGGAAAAAAAAAAAGAAAAAAAAAAAGCGACAGACAGACTTCTGTTTGCATGCTCTCCTAACCGCGAATTATCCGGGTGCAAGGCTTCCAGCACCTACGGTTTGGCGGCACCGGGCAGTCCCTGAGCACTAATCTTATCTGCATTAAGCTGCACGGTAGCTGATGCCCGTGATTACTTCCAGCAGAGTGATGCAGGTAGGGATGCAGAGACAGCGAATAGGTGAGCCTTTGCCACCAACACCAACTGAATCTGAAACACTGATTCTTTCCCTGGATAAATATACTGCGTGTTGGCTTTCTCCCCAACCCTCCCCCCCCCCACCCCCCCCCCCCGCCTGTTTTTTTAATGAAATGCATCACAGTGTATGGGTAACTTTGCACTTACGTTGGTTGTCTACCTTTGACGATCTGCTGCAGCTAAGAAATGATCTGTTCCAGCAGATACAGCACAATGCATCTGGTAAACCACCAGTTTTGGAGAAATCAGCAGCAGCCAAACGCTTCCTCCTTGAGGTATGTGTTGCTTCGGGGTGGCAAATTAGCAACTCCAGGGAACAAATTCACAGTTCTGTCGTTAGTCATCCTCTCCACGTTTCCCTTCTATTGAGCGGCGATCCTTCGGGTGTTTAACGTGCACGCAACAACCCAAACAAACAGCAAGCAAAAAATCCGGTGCACTTCTTTAAAGCGGGGGTATTTTCCACTCCGCACTGCACACAATTTTCATCCCTCTCTGAGCAGAGCAGAGACAGCTACATGAAGTCTGCAACTTCTTACTGGAAATGACAAGACTTGGTCTGGCGATGCTTCTCTCTCCCTCTTTATCTCTGGGGTGATAGTTGCCCATACATACACACACCAAAAAAAAATTTAAAAAAAAAAAAAAAAAACCTAATAGGTTATTGCTTTAGTGGCGGGAGGAAGCGACGGCGCTTTCCCACCTTCCCTCCCCCC